TGGGTGTTCTGAGCACCTCACGAATTCTATCGGAGTCCCTAATATCGGTCTGTCGCAGAATTGTGCTGTCATGAACCAAGGCGAAGGTACCGTAGAGCCTCGAATCGCTGGTCTCTTCCTGGCACAAGATACATGTTCCGCTAGGGTACTTCCATAGCTTCTTCTCTGGGGTAGCGTCTGTATCGGACTCGAGATCGCTGAAATCTTCTTCGCCCCAATCGATGTTACCCTGACTGTTCAGGAATTGTTGCTGCTGCTGCTGGAACTGCGCCATCACCTTGGCTTGCCTCTCCAGTGCTTGCTTCTTCTTGACCTCCCTGTCATTATCCGCATCAATTGCAGGAGAGCTCGTGTCAATTCGGTCGAAGGGGAATTTTAGAGACGCAGTTGCCGATGAATACGTGCGAGGGCGCTTTTGCCACAGACGTTTGAGTATGTGTCGGATTTTAGGGCCAGATGCAGTGTATTCAGTCGTGACGGAAATTCTCTCCAATAAACCAACAATAGTCAAATGGCCAGCCTTGATCTCTCGAGTCTTTGATAAAGCATTCCAGTTGAATGAATTGGAATGCTCTTCTACCATATCAGTTTCCTCGGAATCATCTTCTAACACTGCCGCAAGGATAAGATGCAGAATCACTTGAAGGAAAGTCTCAACACGTGTCGGTGGGATAGTTGGTGTACACTCTTTTGATGAGATGACGTATTCTAAACATTGGTGAACAATCTGTGCAAACAGCATCGTTCCGGCGAATCGGGGGAGATCGGAGAACACGCCAGAGCTAATGGGTCGAAGTTTTGGCTCAAAAACAATGTCAGACGCATTCTTGCCTGTCTTTTTCGCCATCCATTCCTTGTAGATGTTTTCTGCTTCGTCTCTTTGGTTCTTTGTATAGTGTGCGCTGTATGGATCAATAAGATCGAGATGTTCAGGCTTCAATTCGAAAGTACCAGAGTCACTCAAGCCCTCGGGTGGCCGGAAGTTGGCGACGTCTTCCAACACATCTTGGAACATGTCCGAGTCCAGAAGCTTGTCGCTAAGGCGGGTGGAGAGATCGGAGAAAGACAGCGGCTTGAAGCACAAGACATGAGCGATGTCACGTTTGATGTTTTCGTGGGTGAGGTGAGTGCTGTCATCGATGGCAGTCAAAGATGTTCGGTCCGTCAGGAGGATCACCAGTAGATGAACAAATTCCTCTGCCACATCTACGAGCTGGGCATCTTCGTATCCAGGACGGGGCATGTAGTTCCGAGCCATCCACTCAACCATGCCAAAGCGGTGTGCAATGGAAGCAAGAACTCTGCTAGGATCACAAGTAACTAGGGCAGTCTGGAGGAGGAATATATCTCTGTAGTAGGCAAAGTCACGAGAAGAGACTCCACGGTACTGCGACATCTGATGCCGAAGACTGAGACCATTGCGAACCCACATGCCAGCCTTCATTTGCGCCAGCCAAGCGCAGACTCGAAGTGGATAGTCAAACATGGCCAGGAGCAAGTCCTCCGGTCCAAGGGCAAGTAAAACGTCATCAATACTACTAGGGTTGGCATGCTTGGCGGCATGGATCTCACTCCTCGCCGCATTGGCAGCGGCAAAGAGAACATGTCGCATAGTCTCGCCGCTTATGTCTCGTCCGCATTCAACAAGCCATGACAATGTGTAGTGAAGGGCGTGGTGAAAACTGATAGATCCACGTTCCACCACGAATTCAACTACGCGATGGCAGGGGACTTGGCCAGAGGTGCCTACCTCAAAATCGAAAGGTGGCAGCAGCTTGAATCTTAATTCATCCTTTACCTCTGCCTGGTCGAACCGCTTGCGTTCGACGCCAGATGAATGGATAATCGCAGTAGTAGTGGTGGTCTCGATTGCCCTCAGCAGGTTGTCACCGTTGTCAATTTCAGGATTGCGGAAAGACTCGCAGAATTGGCGGCAAAGTCGGTTGATCTCTCGCATGAGAATCGACGCACTGATCCAAGCATCCGTTTCATATTCAACGTGTTCACCAACAGCGCGGACATTAGGGCAAATACCCTGTGACAGCTTGACGAGGTCAAGGAATTGAGGAAGATATTGTTCCTCGGTCCGCACACGATGCTGTACATATTCAGATTGGAGAAGGTATCGCAGGTCAAGGAAAAAGTGGTAGAGACGTCTGTTTGTAACTGAGCCAGCATCAAATGCCAGCGTGGCGTCGGGGTTGACGGACTGTGGTTCACCGACCTGTCTCGTGGTTAAGAAGGTATACAGAATAGACATCACTTTCGTGAGGAAGTTGCCTCGCACGACAATTTCCTCCGTGATGGAGGGGGTTGTGAGAAGCTGCAACGAAAGGTTAACAATCGAGTGGTCAGGCTCTCGGTCCGCGATGAGGTACAGTTGAGCCAGAGCCGTGTACAATGCAGACAAACGAAGACCCATAATGCGTTTGAACTGAGGAACATTGACAACAGTGCTAATGTAGAGATCACGCAAGTCGGTTCGTGTCTTCTTCCACAACCTCAAGTCATAGAGCACCATCCAGTCTAGGCGAGTACGCTGCCACAGGTCTTCATACGGAGGTACCTTCTCACCTGGGCCGGGAATGGGCGGCCGAACTTGCCAGTGACTGTCTGTGTTGGAAGGCCTTTGCCGGTGCGAACCAGGGGTCTTGGGAATGGGGATATAGCCAGTAGGGCCGGATTCAGGACCCGGACTTTGAGATGGAGACGGGCCTCGTTCGGCAGAGGACCGTTCTGTTTGAGCCGGTGCCGGTCGAGGAGGTGGCGGCTGGGTGCCAGTGAGTCCGGCGAGAATGCGTTCCGCTAGAGCAAGTTCTTCATCTGCACCCGTCAAGATCATATCTTCATCTTCTTCCTGATCACGAGAGAGTTCGATGTCCATTTCATCGTCATCTTCATCATCAGCATCGTGTGCCTCGACATAGTCTTCGTCCTCATCTTCGTCTACGCCATCTTCATCAAGCATGTCGTCTTCATCATCATCGGCGGTCAAGATGACCTGACCATGGTTAGGCAAATTGATCATGAGCGTACGACCTGGAAGATTCTCAGTCCGCTGGTGATCGTCAATGCCCTTCATGCCAATATCTTCGTTATATCCCCCACTTCCCTTTTTCCAGGGCGTAAGCATTTCCTCACAGATAATTTGTCTGAAAATCTCATTGTCCTCGAGGATTTCACAGCCGGCAATATCAGCCAACCACTCCACTATCGTTGTGCACATTTGCTCGCGGAAAGTATCGCGCGCAGAGCGCACCGTGACGGTAACCTTGATCTCCTCAATTATCTTAGAAACACCTAGGAGTCTGTTAAGGTCCTTTGAATACTTTATCACACTGCGGCCCATATCGTTTGTTTCATGAGCCCGCGCAAGGCCAAAGCTATCTCGTTCGCGACAAGCACGGGTGACCTGATGAGAAACATCGCGAATTGTATGCTTCTCGTCATTCCACAGCATGACCGCAAATTCCGGTTCTTCTTCCTCTTCGTCGCCAGCGCCATACCAGTCCGGACGCAGCCGAGAGGCTTCCTCATCTTGCCTGATGCCCTCGACAGTCTTTGGCAGCCGCAATTGCTCCGGGGAGCAAGATATAACATCGCAGAAGTAGTCGAGTGCACGGGATATAGTCAAGCGGATTGAGTCCACAAGATCGGAAGGCAATGCCCGCTGCGCCCGTTTACCCTTGGTATTACCACTATCGGTATGAATTGCGCAAAACAGCGGAAGGCGCCATGCTTCGTCATCACCACAATCACAGCAGCCACAGTTTCCGGAGGAAAGCGAAATCTGATATTGATGTCCGGTGTGATCCGAGGAATCGAAACATCGACTGCACAACACGCACGTATCATCCGCGGCACAGGTCACGCATCGGTATGTGGCTTCCCCAGCACGGAAGATATGACCGCAGCGCTTGCCCCTCGCTGCCTCACTGTACTCGGCTCCCTCCCGGGCACCTTGAGCCTCCGCCAGTTTCCATGGCCCCGCCGGAGTTCCTTCTGGGAACAGCTGTTGTACCAGATCTGTGTTGTGTCCGACAAGCGATCGGAAAAGAAGCTCTAGCAGGTCCTTCTCGGCAGCGGGCCCATAGCGGAAGTTGTGTTTCTTGGGCAAACGGAGAAGACCATCACCGAGTAGCTTCTCACATTCCCCAAGCATGAGCATGATTTGTCGTTGTGGCCGGGGTATCGTAGCGGCCGCTCGGGCTATCACAAGTGAGTGATGGAACGGAGCGCCGTTGTCGCGACAATGCGCTCAAGGTAGTAATGGTCCGACGCAGGTAGTTTTTTCGCGGGTATACAGGCGGAAAAGAAAATTTCAAGTGAGAATTCAAAAGATCGGTCCGGATCGAGTCGATAAGGTTCTCAGATGTAGTTCACACTGCTCACACACTGATACTTTGTGGTGGGGGAAGGTGAGAGCAACGGGCGAAGGTGGACCAATGCAGGCGAGCAGATCAGCACAGATACGGTGAAGTCATATGCCGTTAAAATTTGAATGTGGAGCTCAAGGTCCGAAAGATCAAAAAAGAAATACAAGAAATCAAATTGAGATTCGTTTGTAGAGACCGGAAGGTAACATATTTCGCTATGACATCGATGGAACCGGTCTGTCAGTAAACGCCACACGGCCTGACGACCTACAGAAACACGCCACTGTTTGAAACATTTGGAGTTATAAAAACATAAGAGTAGCCGCTTATGCGGCCTCTACCCAGGTGTACTTCGCGACGAGAGGCTTTCATAATCTGATCTATTTGGCCCAAGATGATCTTACGGGCTTTATATGCGGCACTCCGTTTTTGATGTATACGAAGGCGGTAAAACGCATAAACCATAGAAAGGACCAGGGGAATTGAAAGCCAAAACACAGATTTCCATCTATCACGTACAAGCCCACATATGGGATGAGAAACAACAGGCATGAGCTTCGGTGACTTTTCCATGCCCCTTCACCCGCGGTAGAGTATACCCAACATCACTGACGGCAAGTCTATTTACTCCTCCTCCTCCTCCTTAACCATATAACGGTGCTTGATGTCCTTCCATTGGCGCTGTAATGTGAGAAATAGTCAGCGTGGGTCCTAGCCTCGGGTATTGTAGACGGTAGATCGGGAAGGAGGTTCACATACGCCGTGGTTCCAGCTGTCCCAGACCTTGTTGGAGGTGATGTCGAAGGCACTGTTTTGACATTGCATGGTCAGTCTTCCGTATTAAGGTGTAGACATGTCTAGCATGCTCAGAGATCCGGTATAACCCACAGCTCAAAAGCGAAGGCGCCGGCAAAAGCAGTGGTCAGGAGAACCGTGTTCTTGCGGATGAAGGTCCTAAACACAGCGAAGAGTGTCTCGGTTAGATTTCAATTGGACAATTTCGATTGCGATCGTAAGACCTAGGAAGGGGAGACGTGCGAGTAGATAACGTTTGCGAGCTGTCATGCGAGAGGTCAGTCAGTACTGGGCATAGCAGTGCAAATAGGAGAACCGGGGGAGGTAGTATAGACATACGCCAGCCATTGTGAGAGATTGGGGTGTTTTCACACGACCTAAATTACAGGATTGGACTGGAGGATGAGGCAACGAGAGTTGAAGTTGTGAGGTTGAAGTTGCGAAGGCTGAATCTGCGGGAATTGCCGGTACGCTGATTGGCCGAGCCTCCGGCCTTCCGCACTCAACTTTCAATGTTCGCGTTGTTTCTCTCTTTCGATCTTTAAAGATATTGCTCTCTGCCTTGGAGCTTGACTCTGTCAAGTTGCTATCAGATATTTCATATTTCACCATTTCGTTACACAAATTTGACCCTACAAACCACACCATGGCCTCCAACGTCGCCAGGTCCGGCATCACCACTAATGTCCAAACCGGCGAACGATACATTCCCTCATCAGTCCGTGCCGACGGTTCTAAACGCAAGGAGATCCGCGTGCGCCCTGGCTACAAGCCCCCCGAGGATGTCGAACTGTACAAGAACCGGGCAGCGGCTGCATGGAAGACCCGCGGAAAAGGCGGGGTGCCGGGTGCGGAAACATTGAGCAGCGAAGACGACAAGACCAAGATCGCAGCTGAACCTAACATCACCACCACCACCGCCGCCAGCAACAAGAACGCTAAACGTCGTGAAGCCAAGCGAAATGCGAAGGAAACCGACAAAGCCGGCCCCACCGCAGAGGGCAAGGGTGCGGAATCAAACAACTGGCGTGTCCCCGCAGCCGCACCTAAGAAGGAAGAAAAGCCCACTGAAGAGCCGGTTGACCTCGAAGCCGAGAAGGAGAAGAAAGCCCGCAGTCTAAAGAAGAAACTCCGCCAGGCGCGGGATCTTCGCGATAAGAAGCAGCAGGGAGAGGCCCTGTTGCCCGAGCAGTTGGAGAAAGTCATCAAGATTCAGGAACTTGTGCGGCAGCTGGATGTTTTGGGCTTTGATTCCAATGGTGATAAAAAGAATGGTGACAGCAATGTGACTCCTTGAACGCCTTTTTGAACCTTAAACGCGGGGTCAGATCATACCCAGGTCCATGTGTTGAGTATATGCCAATATGCATATCATTATCATCAGGGCTTCCTGCAACCACCCTGGGACATCCACTGGGGGCTATCAGACTACCCAGATCATTGTGACAAGTGATGGGAAGTGGGGAGTGAGAAATATTACCTTCATGGCAGGATGGATTGCAACCAATCGGTTCCAGCCTTCCAACCACCCATCGCTTCGCCTGTGAGGGATTCAGGGTGCTGTCACATCTATCCGCCATTCCCTCAATCGGGGTCTGGGTGCTCCCCCGCCCTTGACCCTGCATTGGGATCGGAACTGAGGAAACAGACTTCATAAATGGATCAAATCCAACGTTCTGTTAGCCGACCATGGGCTGGAATTGAATTAGACATTAGAAATTGAAGATTTGATATCCGGCGAATGCCGTCGATTTCCAACTTTCGTTTACATTACAATGATACATTTACTATATACATGGCTTAGACCTTCTCTGGTGTACATTCCCAAGCATAAGTAGCAAAACCACATGAACCAGTCACATAGCATCAGATTTCGGAGTCAACAAGACGAACTGGAGACGTCACGATGCCGCCCTCGAGTCTCCAGCGTTTATAATCAAAGGAAGTCCACGGACGCCACGGACTGCGCTCATTATTGAGCCGGATTCTTCCAATGCCATAGGTGGCAGATAGGATACCCTGCTTGACACAGTCGCCCACACTTACGCCATTATACCAGTTTCCCGCGAGAATAAGCCGGTTGTCGTACTCCTTGCGAACTGTGTGCGAGAGCTTATACATGCGGTCCAGATGGCCGACTGTGTACTGAGGAATAGCATCCTTCTGGAGACGACTCCGTGTAACAGTCGGGGTATCAGTGATATTCATGTGTCTCTTGAGCATGTCGCGGGCCATTTTCACTGCAGTCTCGTGGTCTGGATACTCTTCGAAGCCATCCCAGTAATGTCCACCTAGCATGACTGTGAGCTTCGTTCCAGGTGCGGAATCTTGGCTGACTTCAGATGATGAAGGATCTGTTCCGTTCCCTGCACTAGAGGACGAGGCGAAGATGACACCAAGTCCACATTCTGGGTTCTGCTTGTAGGGGATCGAACGCGGTATGAGGTATCCAAAGCCATCCTCCACGGGTAGGAGGTTGGGATTTGGGTAATAGAGATTAACGACCATTGCCGTCACGGCGTAGTCCTGTTTGCGTAATAGAGATGGGGTCAAGCCAACAGGCTTCAGTTCGGCCTGTGACTGTTCGGGTTTGCGCATGACCTTCGCAAGTGCAACTGGAGGAATAGTCGAGATGACATATCGATAATCAAATGTCTTGATTTGACCGTACGTGGATGACCAATATTCCATCTATTGAGTCAGCATCAACCCCAGGGCCCAGGGAGTTCAGGATATAGCATGGCAATGCAGAATAATTCACATACAGCAATGTCAGGATAATCAGCCCTTGCACTCAAAGCTTTGATCTCCGTGTTCATTCGGAAGTCGACTTTGCCGGATGCTTTCAGTGAAGCAATCAGTGCTTCAACAAGCTGGCCAACTCCCCTCTTAAAGGTGAAAGTACTAGCTCCAGCCGCGAGGACTTCTAAATCATGCTGGCGGCGCACCAGTTCAGGGCCGGCAGGCACGGCGTCTATGGCCATAAAATCATCCATATTCCGAGTCCTCGTTTTGGAGATCGACCTGGAGATAAGAGATGCTGTAACCCCACCAGAAACCAACCCACCGATGCCCCCAATGCCTCCCTCAAGGTTGCGGACGCTACCCAACAGTGCTTGGGCACTCAATCGATCGATGTCACCAGCATAAATTCCATGGTACACAGCGGAGACTAGATTATCTGCAACATTGGGGCCAAAACGACGTCTGATGAAGTCCGCAACAGACTCATCATTCGCCCATTCACTTGGGTGCCGGGGCGGAGTGAAGACATCCTTAGCTATCCCCGAAAGAAAGTTGTTAAATAGCGGCTCTTTCATAGTATTCACGAAACTTTCTACGTTCTCCCTAAAAGAAAGTTCAGGCTTTGGCGCCGGCATGCGAACGAGACGGTCCGGGTAGTAAATGTAACGATTCTGGGCCGCGGGGCTCGTGTTCGGGGTAATAATGAGGTCGTCGTACAAGCCTAGATTCGTAGCCTTTTAATAGGGTTAGAATATGAAAGCTTTTCCATTCCGAGTATGCACACACGAGCAACACTCACCAGGTAAAGCAAAGGGAGTGACCCTGGCAGCGAGCTCCTTAAGGTCCGCGGCCCATACTCAAACACGACATTGCCACCATCAACAGGAACTGTTTCAGAATTTATCCCACCCCCTAGGCGGTCCGTCCTCTCGAACAACTTGACATGCTTGCATGTAGGGTCTTGCGCGAGTTGCCAGGCGGCTGTGAGCCCTGTGATGCCACCGCCAAGCACGGCGGCGTTGTATGCCCGTTTTTGACCATTGAGGAGATAAGTCAATTGCGTTCGTCTTGGCCTTAGTGCTCTAGAGACACATGGTCGCCACATCTTTGCTGATCACAGGAACGTTTGGTCCACGGGTGGTAGGAGAATTAAAGCTAAACCCGAAGGTCCTCGGAAGCTCCCGTTCTTACTTAAGCTACACGGGGAGAGCCCTAGAGCCCTGTCCTCGTCCGCCTACAACAATCATACAAGCTTGCACAATAATTCATGAGACATTCGCGAACTCGTCTTCGCTTCGGTATTATTCTTTTGAAGATCAACGGGGGAATCTATGAACAGACCAGGTAATAGTATCTGAAACAAAAGCAAATGCATAAAGAGTATCAACGCCATTCCCTCCAGCCATTCCTCGTTCATTGATCAAGATCGGATTGTACATAGTATTCTTCACTTCGGAAACAGACTGTTGTAGGACGTGCTTTTTCTGAGTTTCGGTTTTTCGAACAGTGATTTTCCTTCATTGACAGTCATGTCAGGCGGAGTCACGCGGTAAGCTCCCGGCTCTGAGTGTTCTCCTCGGTCTCCGGTTTGATTAACTCTTGCGGTCCATCCACATCCGTAACAAACTTGCGCTCGCTGACATGCTCTCCGGAGCGCGGAGTCCACACCTTGTCGGTGTAAGCACCGCGCTGACCCTCGCTGTGCTTGTAGGTGCACTTGGGGTTCAGGCAGGGATTGAACTTGCAGGCGGTCTCGACATGTGTAAACTTGCATCCTTCGGTCTTGCAGTCGGCTCCATTGCGGCAGACTGGCATACTTGGGTGCTTGAAAGGACAAGTGGGGTTGGTACAGTGAGGGAAGAACCGACACATGGCCTCTGCTTGGTGAGCCGATCGCACTGCTGGTGAAGGGTGGCGTCCGGTGCATTTCTTGTTCTTGCAAGCTGCACCGAATGAACAAGTATCAGAAGGATCGATTGAAGTACCTTCCGGGGCGGCAGGTGATTGATGGGCGAACGGGCAATCCTGGCGCGAGCATCGTTGGTTGAAGCGACACACACTGTCCGGGTTGCTTTCATCTTGTTCGCCACCCGCTGTGCTGTCCATATCCACATCTGCTCCTTCCGCGGCTCTCGGCTTGTTGTATCCGCGCTTTCCTCCACGCTGGCCACCTCGCTCGACCCGGTTAAAGAGCGAACGACCTTGAGAGCCATTCTGGGAACCAGTTTGGAAAGCGGGGTTAACAGCGGGTGGCATGAAGCCAGGCATGAATTGAGACATCATTCGAGCTTGTTCTTCCAACATCGACATAAGCTGCATCTGGTTTTCGGGGGTCATCTGCATCATGGGGTTGCCTGGCATTCCCATGGCACGGCCACCGCGACCATTTTGTTGGCCGCCTCTCATTTGACCCCGGCCATTGTGACCGATGCGCCCGTTTCCTTGTCCCCGCACACGATGTAGAGCTGCATCTGAGCCACGATCTAGGTTTCGATTGATTTGGTTCAACATCCTTCCCCTGCCGCCTCTGCCATTACGCATCGCTTTCGGTCCTGTGGGGCTATTGAGGAGCACTGTCAGCATGTTATAGATATTAGCAGAAAGGCATGGTAAAAACCTACATCTCGTTTCCGGCCTCTGCCATCTCGGCATCCTGGCCGTTGGCTTCTCCAAACGGATTGGACATCGTTTGAGCTGGTTTATCGAATTCCATGGCCGAAGGGTTCAACTGCCCCATGGTAGTATCGGTCGAGGCTGGAGCAGCCCCGTTGATTTGTTGGTTGAGAATCTCGACTTGAGTGAAAAGCCATTGTGAAAACTCGAGGGCTGCGGTGTCACCTTCCTGGAGGCCAAGAAAATCATTTGAAAGCTCAGTGGCTATTTGCTCTTCTGTCTTGCCGTTGACCAGCATGAGAACGATGTATTCGATCAGTGGTGACTCTTGGCCATCACTCCAACCCATCTCCACCAATTTCGGCTGGATGACATTTGCGACTGCTCGCGCAAGAGGTGTCTCTAAAGTGATTTGAGGCAACATGGCGAAGGCGATTGTAAAGTCAGGAAAAAGTGAAAGGCTGGTGAGAAATTCACAAAGAGAGCGCTGATAAAAGAACTTGCGCCACCCGATAAAGGCGTTTCGGATCTTATCAGCGCGACTAACAATGAAGATGCGATGAAAACGGTATGTGATAGCGGTAGGTGAAGTTATAATAGAGGTTAATAGACCAGTAACAGGTTCTGGTAGAAAAAGCAAGACTTTAGCAAGCAGATTGAAGTGAAGCTAAAGACCCGACGACCAAAATGGATGTCTGATCACGTGGCAGTGGCCGGCCGGCGGTGAGGTGGGGCAGTACAACCACCACACGTGCCGTCAAGGTCGGTTTTGGTATCAATTAAAAGAAGCTCTTGCTTTGATCGAACTGTGTCTTAATGCTCAGTCGAAAGAGATAAGAAAGTTGACCTGTTGAAAGACATAAGGAGTGGACTTTGAAACTACTAAAGTTCAGGCTTATATATTCACAATGGCTATTGTTGCCACCAAGTTATTGAGTTGGTTCCGAGGTTGCTGTGAACGGTATCAAACATATAAAGAGAAGTATCCAGACAAAGAACCTACCAGTCAAGTGACGTCTGAGAAAGGAATGTATCAAGGCTTCTAGGGCCGTAACTAGCCTGAGGCATGTAGATGCCTGGAATATCAGGCATATTTTGCAGCCTCAGCTCTTCATGAAAAGCATGTGCGCATAACTAGTCACAACGTATGGGGTGCAGAAACGTTTATGTGGCCACCTATCAACAAAGTGCTGTGGATCTCCCTACTCGGAATCATATGCCATCAACCCCTGTCTGCCGAGGTGTCATATCTTCGCCATGCGGCATCTTCCCCAGATCGTCGGCGTCCCCACATCAATCACAGTGTGAAACCGAGATTATAACTAGACGCGGTGGGGATCTGTGCCTAGCCCAGCCCTATACTGCAACATCAAATCAATGGAAGGGATCAATGAACGAAGGATGAAGTCACATAATGCGGGGTTCGCAAGCACGGCTCCTTTAGGCCATCCTTCTACACCTATTTGGGATATGGGGAACACACATCATTGGATACTAAAGGTTCATAGGTATTCTCTGGAAACCTAGCGTGGTTGTGTCCCCAGATTGATAGACGCTGCAACCCGTATGGTTCACACTGTTTGACAGGTTCGTCTTTATAACTAGCCTTCCCTGCCATATGTTATGCAACATATCAGTTCTTTTTCTCTTATTCTGAAGTCGCCCCCTCGAAGGCAGCAGCCAGACTAAACCCGACTTGGTATAGCCCAACGGCACCATGATTGAAGATCTCCTGGCCGGGACAACATTCAGTCGGGCCTCAGTATGGCTTCTAGGCCTATTCGTTGCCTTCTGCGTATTCCGCAAGTTCCAAGCTTCAGCACAAATCGCCCGTCTCGGTGTCAGAGCTCCCAAAATTGGGTTCCGGCTCCCATACGCTCTGGATTTCATCTTCCAAGGCTACCAAGCCAATCAAGTGAACCGCGATCTAGAGTTCTGGGATGCAAAAGTCGGCCAAGCAGGCGGCCTAACAAATGTGAAGACAGCCGAGCTGGACGCTGGCATTTCCACCCGTATGGTCATCACCAAGGACCCAGAAAATATCAAGGCACTACTCACCGGCCAGTTCGCCGACTACGGTAAGGGTGAGCCCTTTCACCGGGATTGGAAGGAGTTCCTTGGCGACAGCATCTTTGCCACAGATGGAGAACTATGGTCTCGCTCCCGCCAGCTCATCCGTCCCATGTTCGTGCGTGACCGCATCGTCGACACAGAAATCTTCGAGAAGCATGTTCAGAAACTCATACCGCTTCTCGGCGGCAGCCACTCACCCAGCAGCAGTAAGATAGTGGACGTCGGATCACTCTTCTTCCGATATACACTCGACGCAGCAACGGACTACCTACTCGGCCAGGGTACAGACAGTCTAGATAACCCGGCAACGCGATTCGCCGAAGCGTTCAGATACGTGCAACAGCGCCAAGCGGAGTACTTCCGTTTCGGGTGAGTGATAAGACTCGATCCTACGCGACGCAAGCACAACCTTTCATTATAGCTCGCAGAACCTAATCTAACATTAAACCCTAAAACAGAGTCTTTAGCTGGGTCATGTCACGCACCGAATTCCGCAAGAACCTTAAGATCATGGACGAGTTCATCCAGCCCTACATCCAAACCGTCCTCGCTCACTCAGCCGACGAACTTAACGAGAAGTCCACAAAGCAGGAGACATTCCTCGACGCCCTAGCCAGTTTCACCCGTGATCCCCGCGTCCTCCGCGACCAACTCGTCGCCGTTCTCCTCGCAGGCCGCGACACAACAGCCGGCACACTCTCATTCTGCCTCTTCGAGCTCTCGCGTAACCCAGAAGTTGTCGCCAAGCTACGCGGCGAGATCCGCAATAGACTTGGCGTCGGCGCTAACGCGCAGAAACCCAGCTACACCGATCTCAAGGAGATGAAGTACCTCAACGCAGTGCTGCACGAGACGATGCGTTTATATCCAGTCGTGCCATTCAACGTGCGCTATTCTCTACACGATACGACGCTTCCACGTGGCGGCGGGCCGGACGGGCTAGCCCCTGTGGGTGTGCGTGCAAACTCGCGGGTTGTCTACTCGACGATGTTAATGCAGCGGGATCCTGATCTGTATGACGGCCCTGGATCGAAGAACTACTTCGATCCTGGGAAGTGGATTCCTGAGAGGTGGGTTTCGGGCTGGCAGCCCAGGCCGTGGCATTTCATTCCGTTTAATGGTGGACCGCGGATTTGTATTGGGCAGCAATTTGCTATTATTGAGATGGGGTACACTGTCATTCGGATTTTGCAGGCTTACGAGCGCATTGTTGCGCTGCCGGTTGGTGGGAAAGACAAAGTTGAAGATCCGGTGCTTCGGTTTGAAGTTACACTCAGTCCGGGCTCCGAGTTGAATTGCGTTTTCCTCAAGGAGGGTGAAGAGGCTGCGCACAGTGCCGCTAAGGCAAGAGTTGTCTGAGCTATGGTTGATTCTTCGAACTACGGTATGATATCTTTGAGACATGAATTTATGCCCTGCTTTTAGCTTTTGGAACGAGGTGGAATTCATATTGTTGAATTCCTAGTAGTCAATCGGTAGATCTAAGCGGAAAGGTATCCCAAAAGAACCCCTATAAGCCCTGCAATAAGGCTCCAATTTGAATTTTAAACCCTAACATAACTACGTGTATAGGAAGAGTGCCTTCAACAGCAATGCGTTGTCAACCCAGCAGAGACAGCTAGCCTATTACCCCCGGTAAGAATTGTCAATATGGCTCCGCCAAGAATAGGCTAATGCTTGGAGCGGGGTGTATTACATATACCATCAATGAGAGTCTGTAATTGATCATTAGTATAGAATACCGCACTCGGTTGTTATAAAACAAGGAAAATACTAGTTCAAAAAGATCAGCGAGATCTACATTGACAGAATTGTTACCAGGGTACGGAGTACTAGTCGCGGCAACAGCTGACACCATTCTGTTCGTTTCACAACTACATTCAAGACACCTAAATTAAAGAGAAGATCTCGTGTAGAAAAGTCAATTCCGGGTACGGGCTATGACATTAACCAATGGCGGTTTGGCCGAGTGGTCTAAGGCGATTGACTAGAATTTGCTTGAGATCAGAACCTGAAATCAAGCCCTTTCATTATCAATTCCGTTCGCGGGCGCATGTTCGAATCATGCAGCCGTCGTTAATCTTTCTTTTTTCGCTTGCTACATACACTTGCCCTTACTTAGTAAGTGACAAGACCCGTCCACGCCCGAACGTAAATTTTCCCTTTTGTTAGGGTTCACTTATAACTTACCACCTATAATTTATAGGCATACTTTATTAAAATCGACTATATTATTTATTAAACATTGACTACGCTCCCAGATTATTCCTCTATAGTTAAGGCTCAGCCTGCATACCTACCTAATTCGGCTTAACCCTTTAGTCTAAGTCACCGCCCCACGTGATATATAATAACCTAAATTTAATTTAGGACCGACCGCCTTCTATTTAATTAACCTCACCTTTTAAACCCCGCTTAATTGAAAAGCGGAATTAAAAAGAAAATTGCAAAGATTGTTGTAGCAAGTAAAAAGACACTGTAACGACGGCTGCATGATTCGAACATGCGCCCGCGAACGGAATTGATAATGAAAGGGCTTGATTTCAGGTTCTGATCTCAAGCAAATTCTAGTCAATCGCCTTAGACCACTCGGCCAAACCGCCGTAATCTATTTTTTCTTTCAGAAAGTGAACCATGAAGGAAAATCCATAAAGACATACATATTTGACTCAAGAGAATCTTGGTGCCTCTTCTGCTCCTTCTCAGTAGTCAACTTAATTTAGTAAAAAAAAAAATACAAATCCTCCAGCGCTCTGGGCACCTGGGCATCATGATCTACTTACATAAGCATTGAAGTAGACCTCAAAGACTCCAATCTTTAGTACCTGTCAGTGTCGATCAATATCAGGTTGAAGTCATTGTCTTTAATTCGATTACCTCACTAGTATATACTTTCCCTGTAGAATCCTATGTAGGTATGTAGGATCTCGCAAATGTTGAATCTGTATTTTCCATACCCCTTAGGTTCTATTCAACTGAAACGGCTAGAATTTGAAACCTATCTACATCTGAACTCGTTTGTCATTAGTAGCTAATTGCGAGAGGTGGATAAAGAGGGTAGTGCGCGTACATTCTCTAGCCCCTTTGTCTTCAAAGATTGGAGTGAACAAAAAAAAATGCGACTTCGGTAGTTACTACCAGCATGTGGGATAATCAGGGAACCTGCCGGGAATACTCGGATGACTATTAACTAGTGCTTAAGCATTATACTAGTTAGGTTAACTGTGGCCAATTTACTTGGTCGTTTCTGCATAAACTGCTATACTACGGCGACCAGAAAATAACGAGCCATTGGGGTATGATATTTTTCCTCCCTGTGGCATTTTAATCAATTTTCTATTCGTGCGCCAGGTCACTTGGGAACTATGTACTCTATTGTCGGGCGTATTCTGTGTTCTTGGGTCTAGTTTAAGCGCATATGGCAAGGGGTCTGTATGTTTTTGTCAGCCGAATACGTAATCTCTCTTTCTAATATACTTGCGTGTTTTTCTAGGGGTTATATTAGTTATTTAGCCAGTGAAATTCTACATACTTCCAGGTATATGGTGGCGGGACACAGCCGTCCGTACAAGCTCCTGCAACGGGGCCTGCTTTCTCCGTATAGAGCGAGATACGTATAATATCGTCAATAGTATCTGGGGGTCTTGATCTGGCTAGAGCTGGGCCATTTTCTGAGCCATCTAATACGTTGCCAAACTTAAGGAGGTTTCCCTCAAGTACTGCTCTGGGGCATAATATCATAATATTAGATACTTACATGTCCGATAAGCTGTATTCAATTCGATGGAATGACTACGATATGCCGAGCCAAGGACAAGATATTGAATTTTTCACTCTATATGGATACCCTACGTTGCACATGTATTCATATACCTACAAAATTGGCATTTAGGGATGTTTTATGATGATGTGCTTAGGTGCTGTTTAATGAAGACAACCTTAAGCCATTGTTTTTGTGTTCATTTTCTTTCCCCGGTTGTCTATTCTTTATTATAACCTGCCTACCATTGATAATTGCTTAGGTTCCGTGGTCTCTTCCGTATGGTTAAGACGACGTCTCATCGGGCCTCCTCCGCCCGATATATATTCAACAACTGAAATCTGTCAAAGAAAAGGACAATTACTTAAAATAGTATAACACCAATAAAGTCAATATGCGGTTCAAAACCATGTAGCACTGTGACTAGTTGACAATGTGTTTTATAGGTTGTAAATGAATTAAGATTTTCTAACACATTGGAAGCTAGAAGCCTTTGAAGGTTGGAACTAGTCCACTTGAACTCAGGATGATTATCTAGATGTGGAGTATCAATTTATCGATCAACTATATTAGGTGCTACACGTTAGCAACTACCTACCACGTTCCTGTGACTACTAAAAGATCAAATAATTCAGATTGGTAATATGCCTCCCTTAATCTGACCCCTCTATTCTCGACCTTTAATTTGGCCCCTGCCCAGAAGGCTCACACTCAAGTCCTGGCCTTAGCATAGTTCCCCCCACTGATGCAGGCAGGGAACTTGCGCCGAGAGTTCGGGAGGAGCTTGCAAAACTTCCGGAGGGATCTACAGACCCCGAGATCCGTGAATAGCCAAGTATACGAGCACAGCAGAAGCACAGCACAACGCCTCAGAGAAAAGCTTGGTCGAGGCCCAGAGATGCCCAAGATTGACACGGGAAGAAGACAGGAATACTCTTTATACTGCCATCCAAAGTGGAAAGCAGCTTGTCGAAATGCCTTTCTGGCCATCAGCGGAAAGAAGTCCCCTGGGTGTCTCTTGGTAGCGAGATCCAGCCCTTGGATCTGAAGGCTTGGTTTGAGGGTGTCTCAAAATGGACTTTGAACGATCGTTGTACAAAGAGTGGTCTGGCAATCCCAATAGGCACTACAACAGCCTCTATTGGCATCGTGTTAGATAGCGTTCCGAGCCACAACTGTGGCGAGATATCCCTCCCTTTGGGATTGCGAGAAAGCGGGTTCACGGACACAAATTCTTCGATATGGTTTGCCAATTTCCGAAAATATACAAGCTTATCCCTGGGACATTCCAAGTCAGCACAATACGTGACGTCGATATAGAGTTCTTGTCGAAAGGTACGCAAGAATTGATTGGGGAAAGTAGCCTGCTCTGCCGAAAGCTTGCAGAAAAGGTGGCTCTCACAGAACAAGACCTCAACAGAACCTTACTTTACACCTCCAGGGTGTCCGCTATGAAATCTGGCTGAGACTCAGACACCATGCGATTGAGCGCATCTTTGTGAGATCGCCCGCTCCTGTCATCAAACTATGGTCGAACAGAGGCTCCGCAGCTGTGGAGATCGACGTATTATTCAGGTACGTGTCTGCTCTCTCAAACACCAGGCTCTCCACGACATTCTATGATAGTGCACTCACAGTTGCACTGGTGCTCCGCGGGTGGGATGATGAGAGGTCTGGGAAGATTGATCCACTCAAACTAGAACTAGAAAAAGTCAACCCCACTTTGAGGATATGGCTAGAAAGGTTAGGGTTTAGGGGAAACGATGATGTCCGCCGTCTTGCAGAGTGCAACAGCGGGGTTATTGAGGCTTGGTCTGCTCGTACTCTTGAAAGTCTTACCAAGAGCTCCACCCGGGGTAGGGCCCAGAAAAGTCGCACAGTCAAAGACAAGGCGAAAGGGTGTGATCTCTCCAGAGACGATGCAAAAGGTTCGCCTATTGCTGAAAGATGTTCACAAAGAGCTTACTTCAGTACCCAAGACTGAGGGTGAGGACGTTATTAAGCCCTCAGGCGCCCTGGTATCGCCGGAGGCCACAATCTTGGTGGATGAAGATCTCATAATGGAAGCGGTTGAGCATGGGAGTGCAACAATGGAAGAGTTTGACTCAAAGGAGGAGAGACTAGTTGTCGATCGGCTACGAACTAAGACACCTAAGATAAGAGAGATGAACCGGATGGCCTACCGAAAAGGTCTTCAACTTCTCGTAGGGTACCATTTCAAAGGACACGAGTCCAGAAAAGCCGAAGTCAGCACCTATCAGTTCAAAGTTCAACACGCAACTTTCCGAATTCACCAGGCGCCTCCAAATCAGACGTCTTTCTTTGTGATGGCTGAGGTTGCACCTGTGGGCGAAAGACATCCCCATGCCTACGCCACCAATGCCTCAGAAAGGGACCCAGGCATGCGATTTGGCCTTCGAGTTTCTTTACGAGATGATAAGGGAGAAGACTCGTTCGTGGAGTATGCTAGTAGCTCTGCGTGGCAAGCTATCGCGATCGCTAATTCACTTGTGGATGGTCCAGATGGTGACTCATTCGAAGAGATATGCCGTCGGAAATGACGATTCGTCTCTGCGTCGATAAGAGGATCAAGAACGTGCCACCGGGACTGCAACCATTTGTTAATAGGGCTTACCAGGACGATGAAAATAATGTAGTCAGGTTCAATAGTGCTTCCCCCAAGGTGCTGAAGGCAACAAGGCAGATTGCGCCCGATCTGGGAAGATCTCATGAAGGTTGTGACAGCCATAACAACTATCATTGCCGATATTGGTAGCAGAGTATTCATTCATCATCCATACATATATGCCAAAAGATACATACACCTTCAATAGGAACTCTGTCAGAGTGGCCTCCCTCTCGCTTTTCGGAACTCCGTTTAGTAATTCAAATTGACTAGAAGTAGGCCATCCAGTTGGCTAGGATAGTGTAATAGACCGTGTAGAGGATTCTGGGAATAATCATCTTAAGAAGATGAGATAGGAGCTAAAAAGATTTGCAACGACGGCTGCATGATTCGAACATGCGCCCGCGAACGGAATTGATAATGAAAAGCTTGATTTCAGATTTTGATCTCAAGCAAATTCTAGTCAATCGCCTTAGACCACTCGGCCAAACCGCCGTATTGATATTTTCTTGGTGTAGAGAGCAAGACATGGGAATTTACTATGGAGGCGGGCAGATGGCCGAATTCGTGGTGGACATACACGGAGATGTAAGGGGATATTACTCCATCCCCAGGTGTAAAGACGACTTGCCTGTGCTCCTACGGACTGTCCGAACTGTCAAGTGTCCCGAGGCTCCCGCAAGAGCCTAGAACGGAGCAGCACAACACAGGTGACCAGCGGGATCCGCCCATTCGAACGTTGGGGCATCGACCTGATCGGACGCCTTCCAACAACTCCTAACGGCAATCGGTGGATTATCATAGCGATCGACTAACTATGTAATAGGCTGCCCGGTCGCCCGCGCTATCCCGGACGCGATAGAAGAAACTATTATAGAATTCCTCTACCCCATATATACTCACACTACCGAGCATTTAGCGAATTAATCTCTAATGACGACCCGAATCTCCTATCCGGCGTTATACGGCACTTTATAGGCCTACTAAAGGCCCGCCACCGTATAACTACCCTATATCCACCCCGTACCAACGGGAAACTGGAGAACTTTAACGGGTAGATCAGATGAATGCTCACGAAGTATCTTATAGGGAAGCCTACGAGGCTTTAGGAGGATTCCTGACAAAAGCGTTATTCGCCACCTGCGTGCGAGAACATGCTATCATAGGAAAAAATCGTACTTCTTGGTGCAAAGAAACACTAGTTGTCAGGCTAGTCCTGTTAGTGAGGCGAGTTGAATAGTGCGAGAAACGTATGGTATTGTTTGTGCAGAGACTAATTCTTGCTAAGACCAAGTTTCCTGGGGGGCACTCTTGTATCTCTTCGTCCCTGAATCGTGTCCGTCACGATGATGTGTTGATGTGTTCAGCTAGCTTCCGAGTCCTCTTTCGGACACTGGCAGTTGTCAGGACGATCACATGGTCAATCCTTGGCAACCCTCAAAGAAGCTCGAGACAAAGAAGTTAAATGTACATCAAGATCCTGGTTCCGCATCCATGGCGCTTTTCCTTTACACTTGGTGTATGGAGTAGATGCTCATTTATGCAATTTCTCTAGCCACATATTCCCTCTCGCTTTTAGAACTCCTTTAAATAGCAATTGAAATTAAAACTCGAAGTGTGTCGTCTAGTTGGCTAGGACGGTGTAATAGAGTAATCTTATAGATCTAGGAGTAGAGTATCAAGATAGAGAGCCGTTTGGGCAAAATTTCAAGATAAAAAAAAGTAAAAAAGATTGCAACGACGGCTGCATGATTCGAACATGCGCCCGCGAACGGAATTGATAATGAAAGGGCTTGATTTCAGATTTTGATCTCAAGCAAGTTCTAGTCAATCGCCTTAGACCACTCGGCCAAACCGCCTTAATAATCTTTGGTCTGAAGATTTTGTTTTTATAAAAGTCCCGCTTTCTGGCATACCTGAAATTTATGTACCGTCTTCCTAATTAGGACGACCACCTGCTCGACACCCAGTAGGTAGTGCCTACTGCTCACCTCACCGCCTTTATATCAAACTCCCTATACAATAGTTGGTTGTAAGACAGCAGGTACCTACACTTTGTATGTAAACAAACCCCTAACAAAATCAAGTCACCTTTGTCTCATCTATATAGGACTAGATCAACAAACTGATAATTTAATCTTTTACACCCATTAATATGCTTTTTCTCTACCAATTTCTCTATGAATTTCTTCATCAATTCTAGTAAGCACCATACCTTCCGAGGTTGCACCAATCTAGGCACTAAGTCCCTAGACGTGGATGTGGACGAAAGCGGGCAGGTGGAGGTGCATAAGAAGGAGTATAAGTATGTAGAGAGGACTAATGCTGAAATCCAGAAAAATTTGCGTTCTCCTTATGATCAAAATGCGAGTTCTTTTACTACGTAAACTAGAAGTGGACAGAATATACGGCAGGGAAAAGAATGAAGTGGAGATTATGTACATAGGACAGGTGTAATTCCCTATACGTATTTGATATTTTCTAGTACTCGTCATAATATGCATTTGGGAAAATGAGTATTCGTCCTGGCGGTTTGGCCGAGTGGTCTAAGGCGATTGAGTATGTCTCTCTAAACAATAAGTCTACCAACACCCACTAACAATTCCATTAGCTTGAATGAAATCAATTCCGTTCGCGGGCGCATGTTCGAACCATGCAGCCGTCGTTGCACAATTTTTTTTCTCGTTCATAGCGTAGAGACTAATATATAATACACTTTTCGTACAAGTCATCTTTTTGGAGATAAGAATACAATTAGTTAGTAGGAGTCTGACTGCCGTTTCCGTAGCCTCCTAAGTCTTTGCAGAATCTCCACTTTCCGCAGCTCCAAGAACAAGTCCTCTTCATCTGCATCATCCAAATCACAAAACACACTCCCCAATGCCAATGCCGTCTGTACAGGGGGATGTGTGACTTCGATCTCCTTGACTGAGACACGAGCCCTCTCTTTGACAGCCGTGATTCTCTTCACGACATCAGAGATCAATGAAGTATCCGGGATCTGTGTTCCTTTAGACGGAGGTAGATCAGGATTCTTCGCCGGTGCAGATTTGCCATCTTTCGGACCAACGGCTTCTTTTTGCCCGGCGCTCTTAGATCCCAACCAGCCTCTACTCATCTGCACAGCCTTTTCCCATTGTCTGAATTTGGCAGCACTCTCTTGTCGCAGGACATGAGGCTCGAAGACCACACCACCAAAACGATTGATATCGCGTAGCTCGGCAAAGTTATGCCAAAGTCCAACAGCAAGGCCAGCTGCAATTGCTGCACCGAGAGCTGTAGTCTCGCGCATCTTGGGGCGGTAGACAGGGATAGATATCAGGTCTGCTTGGGTCTATATTTGAGATAAGATCAATTCAAAGACTCATCGATGTGTAAGAAGGTATCCATGATTTCTTACCTGCATTGCCAAGTCTGAGTTGCTCATACCCCCATCTACAGCCAGTTCGGAGAGTGTATGGCCGCTGTCTTTCTCCATTGCATCTAGAATGGCTTTAGTCTGGAAGCAGGTTGCCTCTAGGGTTGCGCGTGCGATATGGCCCTTTTGGGTGTACTGGGTGATCCCAACTGCATACACCGTCAGATAGAATATAACAGTCGGGTAATGAGGAACCCACAGATTGTTCCTTTTGCGTCATCAATCCAATAAGGTGCAAAAAGTCCACTGAAGGCAGTAACAAACACACATCCACCATTGTCTTCCACCGAGCAAGCAAGGCCGTTGACCTCCTTAGACTCTTGGAAGAAATTCAAGTTATTCTGCAAGAATTTGATCCCAGACCCAGCAACGGCAATGCTCCCCTCAAGTGCATAGATAGGCTTCCCGCCAAAATGGTAAGCCACCGTAGCCAGTAATCCATGTGTCGAGAACACCGGCTTGTCGCCAACATTGTACAAAAGAAAGCACCCAGTGCCATAAGTGTTCTTCGCCATTCCAGGCGAGAACCCTTTCTGTCCAACCAATGCCGCAGACTGATCCCCAAGACAGCCCATAATCGGAACCTGCGCCAACGCCCCAGAAGCAACAACCCCGTACGCTGTCGCATCAGACGAAGGCACAATCCTAGGTAAATGAACCTTCCCTCTGATCCCAAAAAAGTCGAGAAGCGTCTCATCATACTGCAACGTCTCCAAGTTCACAAACATGGTCCGCGAGGCGTTTGTCGAATCCGAGACAAAGACGTTGGCAGGCACGCCACCGTTCAAACGGTATACCAGCCAAGCGTCGACGGTACCAAACGCCAGTGTGCCGCGGTCAAATGCATTCTTCACCCTTGGGACATTCGCCAACATCCAGAGCAGCTTTGTAGCCGACGAGTAGGTTGACAGCGGCAGACCGCAGAGTGTCTGGAGCTGCGCTGCCCCTGGTTTCTGTTTCAGTTCTGCAACGATCCTCTGGGAGCGTGTGTCTGTCCATACAATGGCATTGTACAGGGGCTCGCCGGTCTCGTGGTCCCAGACTATGGTTGTTTCGCGCTGGTTGGTTATTCCGATGCTTTGGATGCTGGTCCGGGTGTGGCCTTGCGCTTCGAACTTCCGGACGGCTTCTTCAATGCAGGTCTCTACTGAGGTTACGATCTCGAGAGGGTCATGTTCGTGCCAACTAGGAGTGGTTAATTTTGCATCCAAGGTGGGCTTTTAGTCTAACTATTGGATTGGTCTGGAACTTGCCCCGGGTTCGGGTAGATTTGGCTGAACTCAACTTGATGCGATGCTACTGGCTCGCCCTCGCGGTTGAAGATCAAAAATCTGGTGCTGGTCGTGCCTTGATCGATCGATCCCACAAAGGTATTTGAGGGCTGCATGGTTATGGATAGAGGAATCTACAAGGGAGGAAACCAAATTGAGTTGGCTATTTGCGCATGACACGAGATGTCAAACCTTGCGATACAACAAAGCGCGGAAGAACTCGAGATACAGCAGGAGACCCCAAATACATAAATAAAAGCCTTCGTACATAATAGCTTCACGGTCACACAGCGGGGTGCTGATTCATGGAATGAGGCGAAGACACCCGGGAGAAGGGATTGGTGAGATTACCGCTGGTCAGACGTGAGATTAGGTGAGAACGGGCTGTGCGGCAACATGTATTGGCTCTTGGTCTAGACTCTTCTTGGGATCGTTTTTGGAACTGAAATTGTGGAGTCAGCCAAGTGTCAGTGCACTTCGGACTCATACTCATTAGGGAAAAGATATCCAGGAAAACGGTTCTCTCGTTCCGAGACTTCCAAACCCTGCCAGCATGACCTCCCTTGCATAATGTGGGGATAGATCAGCAGACGATTGACGACTCGGTTCATTTGACGAAGTGTCAGATCCAAATCGGTGGGGAACTGCGCATTGACTCGTCTTATCCCATTGTCATATAAGCAACAGGACAACCAGACTGCCAATAGATTGCCCAAATGATCCAAAGTACAACTGCTAGACCGGTCGGAATTGAAATTTTATCTGCAAGCCTATATTGGCTTTTCTTTTTAACCTCAGTGCATACTGCGGTGCTAACCGCTGGGAGACAAAACATCCCTCTACCACACTCGCAGAGTCAAATCCGGACAACCCCGGTCTCGGTGATGCTACCTCCAAGCATATGGTCACACGGTCAACGGTCAACTGTGTCACTACCGACGAGAAATGAAAAGCAACAAAATACTACCCTCAGTGTCATCATTTGGGGGAAAGGCCAATCTCTTTCCGCTCCTCTCGCCTCCTCTTGGAGAAGCCTGCCGCCTCAAGGTGACACAGTTTGGACTTTCTAGAAAATTACAATTGGGACTACGTGAGTTCTGGCACCCGCCGAGTTGACAATCAGTAACAGAAGACATACAAGCTTATTCCTACAGTTATGGCGATGGCAAATACGGGTAAGCGGGAACTATACGCAACATTGCGGTGTCCAAGAATTACCATAAGGAGAGGAATCAACCCAACCGGGATCGGACAGTGACTTCCGGCTGCGGCCAAACGGCCCTTCCTACAAACGACCCCTGAAATAAACTATGAGCAGAGAAGCGCTGTCAGAAAAGATTCTGCTCTGTGCGGAAGGGAAACAAAAAAACACGGTAACAAAAGGCACAATGGCCGGCCCAGCCAGTTCAATAAAAGGGATATGTGCACTTGATGATTCCGAGTCTATCCGGATTTGACTTCAGCTGATATCTTACCAGCAAGCTTGAACGCCCTCAGAGCTCTGGAGCTTGGAACCAGGAGGACAAGAGGCACACAGAGACACACTATCTTCCAGGACGAGACCCTGCATCAGCCAATCGAGCCACCGTCTTGTACGAAGCACAGCACAGATTAAGAGCAAAGGGTTGGTTACACGGTGGTCCCTGGTTCTTGACCGTTGCTATACCGGAGGGACTATCATATCATTTTCGTGTGGCTGGCGAGATTCCCCCCGGTTGGTCGTACTATATCAGCTCGAAGCCCCAACCCTCGCTTGCGGAGCTTGGGTTCTCCCTTTGATGGCTACCTGGAAAGAGCTTGAGCTTGATTCAATGTCAAAAGTCCACCGTGAAACTCTCTCCTCTGCTACTCATGACAGTGGCTGTGGCTCGCTGTGTCTGACTGATAAGAACGAAACGGCTATCCATCATATTAACCCGGAAGTCGAAAGCCCCTATACTCGCCCTCTGCTCTGGTTCAAAGTGAGGGAGTACTGCCGTGATGCGTTCTCGGAGTTCTTTGGCACGATGATCCTGATCTTATTTGGTGACGGGGTCGTTGCCCAGGTGCTACTCAGCCATGGCGAGAAGGGTGACTACCAATCTATTTCTTGGGGATGGGGGTAAGGCTCTTCTTCTTTTTCATTATCACTTAATACTCTCTTCTAACCAATCCAATTTAACAGACTCGGCGTCATGCTCGGAGTATACGCCAGTGGGGCATCAGGAGGCCACATCAATCCCGCCGTGACATTTGCAAACTGCATGCTCCGCGGGTTTCCCTGGCGCAAATTCCCCGTGTACGCGCTAGCTCAGATCCTCGGCGCAATGTGCGGTGCTGCCATCGTCTATGGCAACTATAAGTCAGCCATCAATGTCTACGAAGGCGGGTCAAATATCCGAACAGTGCCTGGTTACTCGACGACAGCAACAGGCGGCATCTTCTGCACCTACCCAGCAGAATTCATGACAAAGACGGGGCAATTCTTCTCCGAGTTCCTTGCCAGTGCAGTCTTGATGTTCATGATATTCGCTCTGAAAGACGACGCCAATCTAGGCGCCGGGCCGCTAACGCCTCTGGCGCTATTCTTCGTTGTCTTTGGCATTGGGGCGTGCTTTGGATGGGAGACTGGATATGCTATCAACCTGGCGCGGGACTTTGGGCCTCGGCTGACAACCTACATGATTGGATATGGGCATAAAGTATGGGCTGCGGGGGACTATTACTTCTGGGTACGTTTTATCTGAACATCACATGAATCAGACTTTGTGGACTTCCTGGCTTACGAAAGTTTCTTTCTTAGATTCCTATGGTTGCACCAATATTAGGTTGCACTTTCGGGGGGTTGATCTACGATCTATTCCTATATACTGGGATGGATAGCCCGATCAACACACCCTGGATGGGAATCAAGAGGCTCGGTGGACCCTTTGGGCAAAGGCGAGTGGCACTACAGAGTCCAGTCTGACACAATCCTATCCTTGCGCATGACATCCCAAATGTAGGCGTGGGGTGGTGAGTACTGCACTTGATTTGTGTTATTTTATCTTATTATGATATGTCTATGAAATTTCGTGTAAAAAGGGGCGGAACTTAGCTACGACTGTTATGATTTATCTTTTGCACCATTTAGCCAGTTTCTGCAACACCTTTTTTTAGCATCATGCAATCTACTTTTAAGTTTTTAACATGCTCCGTGGCCTTTGACATTGTCTCTCCTATTATATGTTTTGGTCGGGACCAAGTATGCATTGGCTGCGTCTATCGGCCATGGGTCTATATATCTCCAGTTATAGGCACAACCACTGTATTGTGTGCATTTCTTTACAACTAGAATATGAGGACCCGTGGGATTGACGCCGAAAATGACCGCTTTGGAGGCCAGAAACGGCTGCCTTTCCACCCCCTCTAGAACCACTAGGATCCGATAAATAATAATCTGACCCACCGTTCTAGTGACTTCTTAGCGTTAAAGACCGGTTACGAGGTTCTACTAATTCTGACTACACTAAAATAAGACCCAAAATCGATAAATTCTAATAGAAAAGAGAATGATCAGAATGGCCTCGATGAATTCAAAGGACTAGGAAAAAAAGCTAGTTTAGAAGGCGCGGCAGAAAATCAAATCCTTTCCTGCTCGCAATATATTGCCCTCCCTCCCTCTTTCTTTCTTTCTTTTCTTTGATAGCAAGCTACGCTCGAAATACTTAAATCGTAATGTGATACTTGAAGTAGCAACGTTAATCAGCAACAGCACTATTCTCTCCGTCCCCTTCATCATCTCCACTCGATTTCTCCTTGTCGTCGTACTCGATGACCATGACCTTTCGTCCTTGGTACCATGTAGGCCAGACAAGGTGGCACGAGTCTGGAACACTAACATCGAAGGGGAGACCCTCGGTTAAAGGGGAATCGTCTGATTCCGAACTCAAGAGCTGACGCCGTCGGAAGTCCTTCTCCTAGTTGAGTAAAGAGACATTCCATCGTAGAGTTGACGTCGTTAGTGGTGAGGCCTTAGTCGCTTCGGCGAGCATTTTATAGATCCATGTTTTATAGAGACGGTATTCAAATGTCATAGAAGAGAAAAGCCACCGTTCAGAGTCTATAAACTAGAACTGATATTTATTACTATCCGTCGTGATCCCGAAAGTAATAGTAGGGATCTTCCGGATTTTGGCCCGACTCGCTTATATAGCTGCGAGATACGTAGCTATTTGACAGTCGGTAGAGGAAAATTCGCGGCTCCGCTTGGCCTCTATGGCAACTAACGTCGAATTAAGGCTATATTAAGGATTATTATAGTAAAGAACTAGTCGGTACGGTCGGTGATATACGTCTCACCGAGTAGAAGATCGACGTCCACCTCCGGATAGAGCTGTAGATATTCCAGCGCCCCACTATTAGAAAGGTGATAGAGCCGGTTAAGAATGAGCAGCTTAACAATGACGCGTATAGAGGCTCCTGAGTTTTCGATTGTATGATAGTCGGAGTGTTTAAGTCGTTGGATAACACTATTCATATCGGCAGAGATGGTAGCTGAGGGAATATGGTCGACGTCTTGCCGATCCTAAATGTGTTCCTCCAGATTATGCGTTACCTGCGGAATAGTGACGCCTCTTGAAGGGATTTGAATTTCCTAGTAGCATAATGGACGCCGGCGGTTTTCTTTGTCTGAGCGAGTTGTTGTATCAACGGTGATAACGTAGTAAGGCTTTGGACCGCACGGGACCGAACGACAGGATCATCGCTGTTCATATCTGCCAGCATATCTGAGGAACTGACGATCCTTTCGAACGTTTCCAGATTAATCGCAGGGACGATCTTTCGTCGCTTGGTCGACTGGGTCCGGCTTGGCGGCTGACCTGAAGTGGAAGACTGCATGCTTGGCCCCGATAGATGAATGCTTGGTAAACCGTGATGATCTAGATAAATCCGATGACAAAACAACGATTGCAAGACAATAAAAAATTGACCTTGGCAGCAATTATTGATATAGTGGAGACGTGGTGGCGGTAGAAACAAGGTCCCGACGAGTCACGGCCCAATTCTGCAGATATGGGCCGAAGCATTAGCGGACATCTTCCTGGAGACCTTGGAGATTGTAGGGATAATCCTAGGCTCCGTTCTTTCCCCCAAC